ACTCTTGCGCTCACACTCCCGTCAATTTAACAACGCCCTCGCACTTGCATCACAATCTGTGAAGGAGACACAATACCCTCCGGGCGCCTGGCCAGGTATGCTCCGCATTGAAGGGCGGCTTCATCAGAATTTGGGGCCCCTTCTCCCGGACGCTGACCATGAGCCTGTGTTCACACAGATCTACATCTACGATCCGCAAGACGAACACGGTGCTACACTTCTCCGTCTCAACCGTCTTGACCTTCCCGTCGAAACCCCCCTCGCAACGATTCGTTCGATCAAACGCCTTCTCCGAAAGTTCCACGCTCTTCTCCATGCATGCAACCGCTGGGTCCATGATTTCATCACTGTTTCTGAAATGCCAGACGAGATGATACATGACCGACACATTGTGATTAACCCTGACGCACGTCCGATCGATCAACACGAACGCCGTTACAACAAACCTGAAGGTCTCAAAGAGTTGTGTCTTCTTATGCACGATCAGCCTGCCAATCGAGAAATCACAATCCGCAAACGCGGTGGCGGAGTTGTCCCAATCGTCGAAACAAACCGTGTTTTCGACCCTCTTCATTATGTGTTCCTCTTTCCTGTTGGCAAAGACGGGTGGACGCCTGACACCGATGACGACCCCGAAACAAGCAATCACTCCGCTACTGCACGAGAATTCTATGCTTTCCACTTAAACACACGGCAAACAGAAAGAACAACGATCTTCCACGCGGCCCGTCTTTTCCAAGAATACGTCTGCATGGCATTCGCTAAAATTGAAAATGGTCGTCTTGTGTACAACCGCCTTCACCAAGCGCAAATTCGTGCCGACCTCTACCATAATCTTCGGGATCATGTTATGCAATATGACAATGCCGAAAATGTTGGTCAGCGAATTGTCCTTCCCGGAACATTCACCGGAGATCCACGCGACATGCACCATCGATACCAAGACGCAATGGCAACCGTCCAAGAATTTGGGGCGCCGGACCTTTTCTTGACTTTCACATGTAACCTGCACTGGCCCGAAATCCAAACCGCCCTCTTCCCCAACCAACATCCGTCCGATCAACCAGACCTTCTTACACGTGTCTTCAAAGGCTATTTGCGGCAACTCATTCGCGACATACAATTCACGCACATATTCGGAGCTATTACAACGTATACATGTGTCATTGAGTTCCAAAAACGCGGTTTGCCGCATGCCCACATTATCGTCACTTTAAAAGATGACCACAAAATTGTCACCCCTGAGCAAATCGACGCTGTGGTCTGCGCTGAGCTTCCCACTAACCCTGCTCTGCAAGAACTCGTGCTCACTCACATGATCCATAATCCGTGTGGCATACACAATATCCATGCTCCCTGCATGCATAATGACCACCGCACACGGTTTTTCCCTAAAGATTTCTCCGACCGCACAACGTAGAACGAAGATACCAGATACCCAATTTACAAACGGCGTGCACCTGCTGCCGGCGGCTTGGTCATCGCTCGTGGTGACACCGACCTTGACAATTCTTGGGTTGTCCCTTACAACCCTTACTTACTCCTCCGGTATCGCACACACTTCAACGTTGAAATTTGTGCATCGACTGCCCCGTGCCAGTGTATGTTCGAGTATATTCTCAAAGGGCCGGACCGAGCAATGGTCGCCGAGGCAATGAACACAGAAGATGAAATTCAAGCCTACCACGACATGAGAACAGTCGGCGCTGCCGAATCATGCTGGCAAATTTTTGATTTTCCTATGGCCGAGCGATACCCTCCTGTTTCGCCCCTCCCTGTCCATACTGAAAACCGACAGCGCGTGTATTTTCGCAACCACCAAGCTCAGCGCATCGCACACGCCCCACCGCCCGAAACGGAGCTGACAGCATGGTTCAAATGGAATGCCGCGCATCTGGACGATCCTGATAACACAAAACCCCTGTACAAGGACATGATCCAACGTTTTCGCTTCGACAAACCCACAAAGAACTGGATCGTCCGCAGCCGCACTGCAAACACCATTGGTCGCATACACACCATCCACCCGAACGGAGGAGACACCTTCTGCCTCCGAATACTCATCCTGTCCCCTCACTCCCGCGGCGCAACAAGCTTCGAACACCTTCGCACAGTCAACGACGAAATTCATCCAATATATCAATCCGCATGCAAAGCACTTGGCCTGTTGAACGACAACACACAATTCGATGCTGTTCTACAAGACGCAATCCTCGCCTCGCCGCCAACCATGGTTCGAGACCTCTTTGTTCACATCGTTCTCCACTGTGCTCTCGCTGACCCTAATGAGTTTTTCGAAAACCATTGGCAACAAATGACGGATGACTTCCACAGGAATCTCGCCGGCGCAGCTGTTCCGCCCTCAATCATCAGAGCGTTGGTCCTCCTCGACATCGAAAGCCGCTTGCAAAAAGAAGGCAAAGAATTGGACGATGTTGGGCTCACACCGCCGCCACCGGCAGACAGAGAACAGGCTAATGCCCTCGCCGAGAGGCCGTCACGCCAGGGCATCCCGCGAATCATCGATGACGAAATTTCGTACCCCAAACCGGAACTTCAGCACACCCTTGACTGCAATCTCCCGCAATTGCGCCCCTCCCAACAGGCAGTCTTCCAACGCGTCATCCGTGCTGCCGAAAATAGCGAACCGCTCTGCGTTTTCGTCAACACGCCCGCCGACACAGGTAAAACCTTCTGCTTCAACACAATACTCGCACACATTCGCCTCCATGACYAAGTTGCACTCGCCGKTGCTTCAAGCGGCATCGCRGCTACTCTGTTGGACGGAGGCCGCACTTTCCACTCTCGATTCAAAGCACCCCTCACCCCCACCGCCACCTCCACCTTGGACATTCCCAAACAATCTGCRCTTGCACARCTTATACGAATGGYTGTTGTTATCCTTTGGGAYGAGGCGCCCATGRCGCACAAATTCCAAATTGAAGCATTAGACTGAACCCTACAAGACATTTGTTTATCTCCCCTTCCCTTCGGCGGCAAAGTCGTGGTCTTAGGTGGCGATTTCCGACAAATACTCCCCGTTGTCACCAAAGGTACACGTGCACAAACAATTGATGTGTGTATTAAATCTGCCGCTTTGTGGCAACACTTCCACACAATGCATCTATCTGAAAACATGCGTGTCCTCACACAAATTGACACTGCTGTCGGACGAGACTACGCTAAATGGCTCCTTGCACTCAGGAATGGCGAAATTGAACATGCACATGATACCCCTCCCAACACCATTCTCCTCCCTGCTCATCTTTGTCTCCATGGAGGAACATCGGAACTTATCAATTGGACATTCCCCGACCTCCAACATAATTTTGAAAACCCCCAATGGCTCGCAGAACGTTTAATCCTCTCACCCAAAAACAAATCAGTCTCAACCCTTAACAACATCATTCTCGATTCATTTCCTGGCCTTGTCATCACCTCCCTCAGTGCTGACTCGCTACTCCCTAACGAAGATTTCCCCGATATTCCAATCGACAGTTTGAACACATTGGATCTTCCTTCCCTGCCCCCGCACGTTCTGCACTTGAAAAAATATGCCCCCGTCATTCTCCTACGAAATATCGCAATGAGGAACGGCCTTTGCAACGGAACACGGCTGATTGTCGACTCTGTCACAAATAACAGACTCCTTCACGGTCGCATCCTGCCATCCCTTCGACCGGTCCTCCTCCCGTGCATCTTGCTCTCGGTCACCGACATCACGTCCTCTTTCCCGTGGCAAAGACGCGAGTTCCCCATTCGTCCGGCCTTCGCGATCACTAGAGTGGGTGACCCTGCCCATGTACGCTTTGCTCTACCTTCACCGCTCGACCACACAACCAACATTGTGTACAAAGAAATCCTTAATTGAACATCCTTCCCAAACACTTGACATACATAACATTTCCCGTCTCCCACACACATACACCTCCCACTCATCAGCACCAAACACAACGAGAATACACATTACTGCCTCCATCAACAATACCGATCCACGGCCTCCATCTTTTCCAAACTACATCTCGGGAACAGGAAAAAAAGAAACCGACAGAAATACACAATCTCAACACCGTCTTTAACCGGTTTACCCCACTTCTGTTTTTTCTCTGCTCCTCACCTTCCCCCTGCTCTCCTCCCTTTCCATTTGCTCCTGCCTTGCAGGTGCCCATGAAGACAAGTCGCCGCAGAAGAAACCAAAAGCATCATCCAAACTGTCGTCCTCAACAAGTTTGTCTTCGAGATCAGCGTCAATGCTTGCAACCACGACTGCAAACACAACAATCGCGACGCCATCAACTGCCGCCACAGCCTCTTCTGCTACAACTGCGAAGACTGGTGCCTCAACATCGGCAACTACAGTTGCACCATCGACTACAAAGACATGTGCCTCAACATCGTCGCTTGGCGCCACGTCAACAATTTCATCTCTCGAGTTTGCAACACTGCCTACAACAACGAGTGCAACTCTTCTCACTGCATTGACAACAGCAATGATGACTGCCTCGACATCAACAACTACACCTGCAACTACAACTACAAAGACAAGTCCCTCTACATCAACGCTTCCCACCACATCCACGATATCATCTCTCGAATCTGCAACGCTGCCTGCAACAACAAGTACACCTCTTCTCGTTACATCGACGACTTCATCTCTCAAATATACCACGATGGCTTCGACTTCATCTCTCGATTCTGCCACAATGACTGCAGCGGCGACTACAACTCTTCTCGCTGCGTCGGCTTTATCCCAAATTCCTTTTGACGACGACGTTCTCGCCCACATCCCGCTCCCATCTCCTTCCTTCTCCTGTCACGGCCTATCTTCAACGCATCCACAATCCGCTCCTCTCACCATTTCCACAATTGTCCATCTTGCTGCTTCTACTTTTGCGCTCGCCGTCACCCCTGCCCCGTACATCAAATGGGATGAATGGCTGCGATTACTAACCAAAGACAACATTGAACATATCATCACACAGATACTGTGGGAAGACTTCGTCGCGACTGACCCTGCTTCCTTCTCACCCCACCTCTATGACTTCTTCGCCCTCTACAAACACAACCGAATGCAGTCTCTACAGCGGCATGACCCCTCCCCCGACATCAACATTCATTTCCGCCACGCAAAAACATTCCTTCTTAAACTCATCAATAACGACTATAACCGTCTACCTTCACCAAGGACGCCCCGCCCGCAATACCAACACGAGCGTATCACCGCAGCGCACCATAGATACACCTTCATTGCCGCCACACCGCCGCCACGCCAGCCCCCTTTGCAACCTCACACATCGCACGACGCCGCCCCGCTCTGGTGGCTTCCGCTAGAACCATGGGGCGCCGCTACTTCAACCGCCCTCGTTCACGACGTCCTCGCATCGCGCCATACACTCCATATTTACAACATCTCCCACCCACCCCGCACATGGGAATACCTCAACGACCTCATCTTCCTCCACCATCAAGAAACACAGCGTCCCCTCCCTCTATTTCCCACATTCAGAGCGGACATCATTCGACGAGCCACAACAATTCTCCGAGCACAAGGACCGCCTGCACAATAGCGCATGCAAAAAAAGTGATACAAGCACAGCAAAACGTGGCAGGCGAGAAATGTGGAGAGAGAGAAAGAGTCGCGGCAAAAGACACTACTGCATACGGGAAAACTCTCCTTTTGTCCCGTGAATGTTGTTCTTCCGCCTTCCTTCGCTGCGGCAGGTCCACTTGTGAATAATAAGTTTGAGTGTTTCAAACCGCTTCCATATGATCGACTGCTTCATCACATGCACAAGTTAAAGTATTACCCTCGTATTCGAAGTGAACGAAGGTTGTCCAGTCTCACGACCCGATCTTGCTTCTTAATCTCCCCTTGCCATTACTCCTAACTAATGTCAGAGACCAGTAGAAATTTAGGCAGCATGTCACTAAAAAAGAAAGCTTCATATAAAGTTTACTAGCCCACAGCTTAAACCAAAATTTATATATCAAAAAATCTAGCCAACTTCTTTCATTTGGGAAAAATTTTGGCAGCGCCTCCCTTGGGAGGGGAAACCTTACAGAATATTTACCAAACCCAAATGCAAAATAAAAATTATCTAGATCATTATTATCTAGATCATTATTATCTAGATCATTATTATCTAGATCATTATTTATTTGGGATTTCAGCTAACTCCTTGAGTAAGTAAAATTTAAGTAGTTCTTCCTTTAGGAATGAAGTTTTCCAAAGTTTCTACTAACTCAAAGTCAAGTCAGATTCCATCACTAAATCCCAAGTCTCAAAACATCTAGTCATGACTAGTGTTCCATCACTGGGCAGACATCTATACAACTAAGCTATATCAAAAGATGCCTCCAGTGTACCCCTTATATAACTTATTTTACTCATTTATTCGATTTTTTAATCATATTATTTGCAACTAAAGGGTTAGTATCTCATCTCTACCTAATCCCTCATCGTCAATCAAACATGCGACTTAGCCATCCGCATTAGGACAAGAATAGTTCCTCAGAAACTAACCAGAATAAACGCACGACTGAACCACATCGGCATGGCGACAAGAACACTACAGCAGCCACCCAAACATCGAGTACAATAATCACTCGACTGAATTTATGTATTGTAAAATACAATAAATTATAATCACTAATTACTTACTAATATATCACATAATCGAAAATCCATATTGCTAAAAGTCAGATGACCGAACCATCCACGCATGCACGAGAACAACCTTTCAAAATCAAGTCAAAAGATTCGGGTGACAAAACCATGCACACACACAGAGATGAGAACAGTCGCTGAAAAACCAGTAAGAAGAAACATGCGACGATGCGATCGAATCATCCACATAGAAACAAGAACAATTGCTAAAATACAAAGAAAAATAAACCTACGGCTAAACCAATTGTATTATGTATTGTCAACAGCATACAGCATATCATTGCGCATCCAAGAATCGGCAACTTGCCTCTTATATGCGCTAACTTTCTCCGCGTCTGCTTCATAGGTTGTTCCATTTTTTTCTTATGGAAAAATCCACTCCTTTGCCCTCTGCAGATAGTCCAACTTCCTGAGGACTTTCATTTTTTTTTCAGACCGCCTTTGACGATGTTCAGCATTGAGGGTTCATGAGTCACCTGTAGAGTAGGATGCGATTGTTGTTCCTTTTTTTCTTATGGAAAAATCCACTCCTTTGCCCTCTGCAGATAGTCCAACTTCCTGAGGACTTTCATTTTTTAGACTGCCTTTGATGATGTTCAGCATTGAGGGTTCACGAGTCACCTGTAGAGTAGGATGCGATTGTTGTTCCTTCTTTTCTTATGGAAAAATCCACTCCTTTGCCCTCTGCAGATAGTCCAACTTCCTGAGGACTTTCATTTTTTAGACTGCCTTTGATGATGTTCAGCATTGAGGGTTCATGAGTCACCTGTAGAGTAGGGTCTGGTAGGTAACATGGAGGAAATTACTTGTCTTTTTTTTTTTTTTTTGGGGAAATTTTTTTTTTTTTTTTTTTTTTTTTTTTTTTTTTTTTTAAATAACCCCCTTCCAGTGTTACTTGTCCTAGAGAAACAAAGATCCCCTATCCCCTATCTGGGACAAGGTACTGAAGCAGGCCCAGGCCCTCTTTGAGAACAGAGAAATGTTAAGCCGGAGTAACCAAGTGCAAGTCTTTGCCAGCTATGGATCTTCCTGGAAGAATTGGGTGAGAAGGGTAGCTCATGAACGGGCCTAGGTCAGTCAGCACACCCAGGAATTGTTGAAACACGAACGTGAGTTCGAATCCAGATGGAACCAGTTGATGAATTTCTAAATTACCTGGGGCCGGTCAGCTCCATGATGATGACATCCCAAGGCCGTCGTCCTTTTAAAGCACCAGTACACCACATATCCGCCCACGAGTGTCAGCATGAAACCCACACCACTTCGGAGGCCGCCAATTTTTATTTTTATTTTTCCCAACGGCGGGCCTGGCCGCCAACTTTGAAAGAGAGTGGTTGAGCAATCCAAACACCAGAGAGGAAAAAAAAAAAAAAAGGACTCGGACGACAGCCTTGAGATATCATCATCCATCGAGCTAACCGGCCCTTAGTTAATTAGAATTGTAGTATTTCACTCATCTGCTTCCAGGGGAATTCGAACTCTGCACCTGGTCTGCATTTCAATAGTTCAGGGGTGTATCAACTGAGCTAGGCCAGTTGCTCCCCCAGGGTAACATTTCAAGGAGAGGGAGATGATGGGTCTACGTCTCAAAGGGGTCCACTTGGTTTTCTAACTTAGTCTCTGACTGGAAAAACATAGAGATGGCATTCCATCAGAGGTCGGCCTCATAAAATTGTAGACATCATCCCCCCTTTCGGATAATCGTTTGATAGACCCACCGCCGGGAGGAAGGGGTCTATACCTGTCTCTTATACACATCTAGATGTGTATAAGAGACAGGGTCTATACAGGGTGTGAGGCCGACCCTTTCGGATAATCGTTTGATAGACCCACCGCCGGGAGGAAGGGGTCTATACAGGGTGTGAGGCCGACCCTTTCGGATAATCGTTTGATAGACCCACCGCCAGGAGGAAGGGGTCTATACAGGGTGTGAGGCCGACCGCTGGTGGAATGACGGACTCAGTTCGATACGAGGGACTTTGTTTGGTACCGGGGACTTAAGTTTGGACCAGGGACTTCGTTTCGTAGACCTCGTCCATACCAAGCGGGCGTTGAAATGATCAACACATACACTGCTCAGGCACAAGCTGCGTGACGCACACATACGACAGAGACGGACAAAAAAACCGTAGTCAAATCACATGCACTATTCTTAATATCTTATTCTTATTCTTATTATTAATTTATTGTTATTATTTTAAGCCCAGATTGCTGTAGAGGTTGGGTACTCAACGTATGACAGTCACCTTCAGTAGTTGGCCATATGGAGCCACCTTACAGGACCACCTCCCTCCCTACCTCACGAGAATTTTCCAGATACACACACACACAATCAGTTTTATGTACGTTTTTGAATGGTTTTTCATCTTTCTGGAAGTACGTTTCTGTGTCTGAGTGGCCTGTTGTATGGAGCGCCTGCAGGATTCTTAGCGAAGCTGCTCTGTTCATGATATCTGTGCGGTGCATATCGACTACAGGGGGCTCAGCGGATGTTGGGAGCCACCAGTCTGCCGGGTTCATTCGTGATGTGACTAGGTGATGTGCCGCCGATGTGCCGCTTCACTCCGTGTTGGATGTGTAGCCTGCCTCGTCTGCACTCTGCTGTTGCCTTGCTGCCCACCCCGATTGCTTCGCATGTTGTTCTTTGCAAGCTGCTGCTGTGTTCACTCTGTGCTGTGGCTGTGATGTTGGGTTCACTTTGTGCCCTGCTCCACTGCTGCCTTGCCACCCCTCCGCATGCTTTGCCATTCGCGTTCGTTGCTTGTGCGCTCTGTAGTCTGGCTGCCCTTGTCGGTGTTGCCTTGTGCTTCGCTGCACTGTTGCCTGCGCGTCCGCTTGACCTGCCGTTCATGCAGATCGCTTTGGGTGTTGTGCAGTTCAGTTGCTCCGGCAGCGTTGCCTCGTGAACTCCGCTGAGTTGTTGCCTGCTGCTGCTGTGTTTCGCTTGTGGACAGTCTGCTTTCAACAAGGATCAAAGGGTTCATGACCCAAGTCATCAATATCAATACGACGATTCCACAGATCGTCGAGGGTTCAGCCTCCTGACAAGTCGGTGCAACTCCAACGGAACAAGCTTTCATCATCCGTTGTTGTTGTTGTTGTTGTTGTTGTTGTTTTGTCGCTTTTTTTTTTTTTTTTTGCTACTTGCACTTTTCTTCCTTGCTGATTTTTGCATGTTTTTTTTTAATCCGGTTCTGTGCATTTCCCTTGCTGCCTTGTGCTGTTCGCCTCCCCGTCCTCCTCCCCCGTTCCCTCCAGCCCATGTCCTTCATTTGCCCGGCTTGCCATTGTCTCGCGCGCTTCTTTGGCTCGTCGTCTTTTGCCGTGTTGCCTTATACTGTTTGCCTGCCCGCCCTCCTCTCTCGTACCCTCCAGTTTGTGTCATTTATTTGGTGCCACTTCTCGTCCATGCACTTGTTGCCTTGTACTGTTTCCTCCTCGCCCTCGTACCCTCCAGCCTGTGTCCTTCCTTTGCCGCCACTTCTCGTCCATGCCCGTGTTGCCAGTCTCTAAATAAGTGGAGTTTTTTGTGAAATCCTATGGGAAGTGATTGTATCTTTGTAGCTTTTCATATATACTCTTCGGTGTGGCTTGCCCTGGATTGCAGACCACCTCTTTCGACTCTTTCATGTGCACACTTGTCAGCGCATTGCACCACGGTACAATCGCGGAGGCGTCTTCCCCCATCAAACATACAAACACACACATTACATACAAAATTCTCTAAATTCCATTTCAAATTTCACATGGAGTCGGTCAAAAGAAACAGCAGAGGCAAGGTGCCACATGCACGGACCTAAGATATTCGTCGTTGATCTTCATTATGCGAGGAACGAGCCCTCACGGGGCCCCTATCAGACATACACATGTTCTGGGCAGAGACCCCCAGCAAGCCGAGTGCCCGCCCTAAGTGAAGGCGGGTCTGAATATTCATCAGAGCCCAAAATTCGACATTTTCATATGTGCGTACTCAGGCTGTTGCAGCCCGCCAGTTGGTTGAGTGGACGTGTGAGCCTCACTAAGCTGCGTCATACAGTTAGCCCAGGCCTTGGCAGTTGCGCCTGGGCACATACACACAATGCAGAGCCGATACATCACAGTGGCCACAGGCCTATGCAAAGGCAGCACTGTTGATGTACCTACCCCAGGTCCTGTGCAAATGCAACAAACGGCCCAAGTCTGGAGACTCAGGCCGTGCCCAGCTGTAAAGGGCCTTGGGCCCGGGCGCAGGCACTGGCGCCCAACCGGAAGCTACTGGAAGCTTCCAGCCAGGCCACACTCAGCCACGCCGAGGCTGCCACTTCCATATACGAACAAGGGCAGCCAGAAGAAGGGGATTCTGGCCCACGCAGGCAATGCGGTCACGCTGCTGCGCTGCTGCGTTAGAGGCTGCGTGCTGCGCTGAGGCCAGAGCGCGTGCGGGCGCATGTGTGGTGAAGAGGGGCGCTGCTGGGCAGCGGAGCGCAAGCAGCCATAGCCGGGCTGCAGGGCGCTAGGGGGTAAGAGGGCGATCGGGGCTCTTCACGAAGGAGGCGAGTGTGGGTGAACAGGGTCTGATGAGGGGAAGCGAGATACGTACCTGATAAATGGAACAAGTCGGCTACGGTGTTGACATCATGTACATTGGTCTTCGAGAGTCGAAGTGAGCCTGTTGCAAGAATGCTGATGTAGGTAGGATAGTCACGTAACGTAGGCTGGGCGCTGGGCGTCAGACAGAGAGGAGCGACTTTGGATACTGTGTTGGTGTGGCCTGAGGGCTTGAACATTGGCTAATTACTTCATTGCTGCGTAGCTGTTGCATACCGTATATAGGCGCAGACCAGAACAAGAACCGACCTTTCAATACAAAGTATAAGATAGCACAGCGGAAGACTTAGATACCAGTGATCCGAACAATCAATGTTGTAATGCAGCCCTGAACATACATCATCATCATCGTTTCATAGTGTGAATGGGTCTGGCGCTTCACACAGGAAGACAGCGCCAGCCCAGAACATGCACAGACGAGGAGGAAGGGGATAGACGAAGAGGAGGGGAAAGATG